TCAGAAATATCCACTTCCAAAAACACCAAAGGAAATCAAACAGTTCCTTGGTTTAGTCGGTTACTACCGAAAATTTATACCCGATTTTGCGCGAGTCACTAAACCCCTTACTCAGTGTCTTAAAAAAGGTAGGAAAATTGTCGCAGACACAGAGTACATAAATTGCTTTGAGAAGTGCAAATTACTATTAACTAATGATCCGATTCTCCAATATCCCGATTTTTCTAAGGATTTTGTTCTCACAACTGACGCGTCTAACGTAGCTATTGGTGCCGTACTATCTCAGGGCACAATTGGTATAGATAAACCAGTTTGTTTCGCGTCTAGAACTTTAAATGAGAGCGAAATAAATTATAGCACTATCGAGAAAGAGCTCCTCGCTATTGTATGGGCAACTAAATATTTTAGGCCTTATTTATTCGGAAGAAAATTCAAAATTGTAACCGATCATAAACCACTCCAGTGGGTTATGAATTTAAAAGAGCCCAACTCCCGCCTAACTCGTTGGAGGCTCAAACTTTCAGAATATGATTTTACAGTTATTTATAAAAAAGGCACAAGTAATTGCAATGCCGACGCTCTGTCCCGCATTGAGATCCATAACGAGGAGATCAGTTCAGTAGTTGCTAATGCTTCAGAACGCCCACCATCAGTTGATAATTCGTCTACAGCATCCGCTCACACTAGTTTAGAGAACCCAATTTTAGAGATTCCAATCGTTGCGGAACCTCTAAACAAATATCATAGGCAGTTATGCATTAGAGTAGTAGGTGATATTAAAAAACGGCCAACGGGTTCGAAACCGTTTGATACGCATACTAGAACATCAGTACAAGTTTCTAGCTCTAATTTAGAATCAGACGTAGTAGATATAATTAAAGAATTTGTTAATCCTAAGGTAAAAACCGCGTTGCTTATAAATCCTCCCTTAGCTTTTTATGACATTATACCGATCATTCAAGATAAATTCAAAAGTTCCGCAATGAATTTAGTGCTGTGCAAATACGAAGTAGAGAACGTTAAAGAGTACTTAAGACAGCAAGAGATACTCAAACATTACCACGATGGTAAAACTAACCACCGCGGAATAAACGAGTGCCATCTAGCTTTATCCCGTCGTTACTATTGGCCAAAGATGAAGGACGATATAACTAAATTTATTAATAGTTGCACTATTTGTGGTCAAGCGAAATATGACCGTAATCCTATTAAGCAACAGTTTAATATAGTTCCCCCGGCAACAAAACCCTTCGAAATAGTCCATATCGATCTATTATCCATTCAAAATGAAAAATATTTGACCATAGTAGACGTATTCTCTAAATACGCGCAGGCATATCATATTCGCGACGGTACTGCTATTAGCACGTTACAAGCTTTACTTAAATTCTGCACTCACCATGGTCTCCCATTAACTATTGTTTCTGATAACGGTACAGAATTTACCAATCAGTTATTTAGTGAATTTGTTGCCTTACACAAAATTAATCATCATAGAACTTTGCCGCATAGTCCTAACGATAACGGTATAGTAGAAAGATTTCACTCTACTTTGCTTGAGCACCTTCGTATTTTAAAACTTAGTCATAAAAATCAGGACGTAATTAACCTTATCCCGTACGGTATTTTAGCATACAATAGTTCTATTCATTCATTCACTAAGTGCCGACCTTTTGATATTATAACTGGCCACTTTGACCCGCGAGATCCTCTCGATATAGATATATCTAAGCACTTAATGCAGCAGTACATGCAAACCCATCGTGACAATATGAAACTTGTCTATGACGCAATAAATGAGTCATCGCTGAGTACTCGTACTCACATTATAGAAAATCTAAATAAAACCCGCGAACCGGAAATCGAGTACCAACCCCAACAACGCGTGTTCGTTAACAACCCTTTAGCAAGTCGTCAAAAGCTAGCCCCACGATATAGTCAGGATACTGTTCTTGCGGACTTACCTATACACATATATACCTCTAGAAAGCGCGGTCCCGTAGCTAAAAGTAGGTTAAAACGAGTCCCTAAAAGTGCCCAATTGTTGCAGGGTGCTACTGGTCCTGACTGCTCGTTTGATAACGGCTCAGGAACGCAATCAAGAGATAACACTTGAGAGCCTTGATGATGGTCCTGGATTACTCCCATTTAGACTCGGAGAAACGAGGCTTATTTCCCATTTTCATACTTTCTTACAATATATACAACTCCAAGATATTAGCGATAAAATAGAATTATTACAAGTCCAATTAGCAGATTTTAAACTCCAATTGAAAAATGATACTTTCATGTTATATGAACTACAAATAGAATACTTATCCTCTAAACTATTAAATGTTCTTAGCCACTTAGAATCGTTAGAATCTACTAGAGTTAAAAGAGGTCTTATTGATGGCTTGGGTTCCGTAATTAAAACTATCACTGGTAATTTAGATCACTCTGATGCAATAAGGTACGATAAGGCTATTAAAATTTTACAGGATAATGATAATAAAATTATCAATCAGTTTAATTCCCACATTACTTTAAATAACGAGTGGATGGCCCAGCATTCTGATATCATGTCTAAACTTGTTGAAAATCAAATAAAAATTAATGAAACTTTAAAGATTATTTTAGATTCAGATGCATATAGAGACTCAAGTCTTATTAAATACATGAAATTTGCGCAACATTTAGCTATTATTACAGAGAACATAGATGACGTTATCAGTGAACTTATTAGAATAGAAAATAGTTTAGCTTTTATCCGTGCGTCAAGCGCGCACCACTCAATGATTAGTATTAAAGTTTTAGGTAAAATGATTAATAGGTTAATATCAATATACGGTAAGGAACATGTGTTAGAGTTAGAACTAAGGGAATATTATGAGCTAATAAAACCTGGTTATTATTTCTCAGGTACCAGAATAGTAGTTATATTTAAATTACCTCTTTTTATTAAAGATAGTTATGACTTGTATAGATTGTCCATTGCTCCTAATAAATACCAGCAGGCCCTCATCCCTCCTTATCCTCTAATAGCAACAAACAGGAAAGGTTACGTGTATATGGAGGCAGAATGCCCGAAGTACAATCACTGGTACCTCTGCGGTGAGAAGATGGACCACCAGATACGACAGCAGCCAGACTGCACTCAAGAGCTCATCATTAACCAAGCCTTGGACAAGACCTGCCAGATGACTACGATAACACTCTCAAGAATCTCCTTGGAAGAACTTGACGAGAAGCACTATATCATATCCTTCCCAAATGCTACGAAGATTCATCTGCGATGCGCACGAGATGACTACACCATCCTTAGTGGCACCTACTTAATCACAGTGCCTGTCAACTGTTTCCTGTTCACCTCAGAATTCACTATCACTAATACTAATGATCAAATTGAAGGACGCCCTTTGAAGATAATGAAACTACCATACGATAAGGAAGCTCACGCCAACTCTTCATCCCACGTTTATCTCAAATCAATTGACTTGACAAGATTACATGAAGCCCAGCATCACCTAGTGACGCAACCAACTCTACAAATTGAACAAGTACCAGCGAACTATCTTTATCATACAACTATACCACTGTACACTATCATACTAATAAGTGTACTTGTAGTCTCAGGTGTCCTGATACTAAGACACTTTGGGTTACTACAACGCCAGCCGAAGGTAAAGAACACCCCTACTCGAGATGACATCTACGCGAAGCCTGAAAATCCTGGATCGCAGAAGACAGCAATATTTCACCATCTCAAAATGCAGAAATAGTTGCTGTTCTCAGGGGGGAGGTGTTATATGGACGCACCCTTAGCAAATCGCAAGTAAGCAGCTGCCCCGTGTACTATTGCAACATCGTTCACACGAGGCAAGAATGCAACGTTGACGGAAAGAGGTAGCGACGAACTCAAAGGAGGCCGGCGCCATCCGACACTGCGTTTTAATGGGAATCTTCCACATTTCACAATTACTTCTTTTAAACATTATTACTGTGTCTCGGTCATTCCATATCTAGCATCGATAGGAACTAGACTAGTTTCTTTAGTAGTAAATTTAAATTGTAATTACATAAGTTTTATTTTAATTAAATTACTTTGAATTAATTTTGGTTTTTTTTGGGTCCTCCGGCGGCGACATCCATAATTAATATATAAATAGTATTTGTAAACAAAGCTACTTAGTATTTGCAAGCCCTCGCCATATATTATTAGGACGTTGCTTAATCAATAAAAAAAACCTATATTATTATCCCAAAATTCGTGTTCAACGCTCCCCAGCTCTCACAAGTGTCACAATAATAATAATAGTTGGAAATGTGCTACTAATATATATAAAGCTCCTTCACCTTTATTGAGGTTTAGACGGCTCCTCTCTCTTCATTGGTACAGACATGTTAAAATATTTGAATAATTAAGTTTCGAAATAAAAAAAACTAAATGTCACATAAATGGTATGTATTTAAATAATATAACTCAAAAAATAGTCCTGAGAATACAAAAAATTTGTTGTTGAATATCACAGCTGTTTTAACTTTACAAGTAAAAAAACATACAATTAATTTCGATTGTTTCTATGCAAATGTTTGTTCCGTGCTTTGTAGACATTAAATTCATCGGTAGGTTATAAATAATACAACATATAAATATTTTAAACACTCACTAGTCGGTTAAATTAATAAAAACGTTTTTGGTCTTGTCTTCACTAACAATAAAATTTGTGATAACAAAAGTAAATCTTATCAATAAAACGATAAGTGATATAAAAGTATACACTAGAATTTAAAATTTAGAAATTGAGCAAATAGTTTTAATATTTTTGAGGCTTTTAGAGTAGTAGGTAGTTTAATTATGGAGTTATTATATATTTTACCAAGGTTTTCCTCTTTAGTTCGTTAGCAGGTAAATGTAGCTTTGTACTAATCTAGTTTGAATGACGATAATCCCTTTTTCCAACTGAATTTTTTTTTTCTTCATTAACACACTAACGGGCAAATAATATAACGTTTTATCGCTACAAGTCGTCTTTACGTGACTTTTTGGGCGAAGTCTTAGAATCTCCCGCAGGGAAGAGGCCCAGGAAGGAGTTGCGTTGTTCTTTCACTTGGGATTCTTTGTCAATGTTCATAATGATGTCATGATTGCGTTTTAGACTTCTATCCGTGAGGTCATCGCGAATATCGATCGACGAGGCAAGGGACTCTAGAGAAGTGACGGTGGAGCGTTCGGCCAATTTTTGCCTCACGTTGAGGTCTAGATAGGGTCGAGACCGCGACTCGCAAGGAGTTGCCACAGAGGAAGAGCTTTCTGTAACGGGCAGCGCGTCTAAAGCAGCCAGCCTCATTATCTCGCGCTGCGAGTCCCGCGCCTCCATCAGGAATATGCTTTCCTGTATAGTGTTATTAAAGTTTACTTCAGAGACGAAGCTATATCCATTTGAAAAAAATTATAGTTGGTACTACTTACTATACCTTTCTCTTTTATTACAAACAAGTTCAAATAAGACCGAAACGAAGCTAAATAAAATCAATATTTTTTATATCCATATACATAATTACATAGTCCATCTATTTTATAGTTATCTTCAAAAAATATCCTTAGTTTGTTTTAAATACTGTGTTTATTTAATACAAATAGAGGGTATTTTTTCTTATGAAAAAAAAATACCTTAACTTCCTTGGTTGTGTACTGATCAAGCTTGTCATAAATGACAGCATGTAGTCCCATCTCCTTTAGCTTCTTTATCGTGTTTTTGTCATTGTTGTCGTCGCCCCAGCAGAAGATTACTAGACCAGCATCAGTTGCAAGTTTTACCTATTTAAAGAAATGGTAGTGTAACTTAACCGTCAATCTTAATCATTTGGTGGTTTCTTTTCCTATTGGGGTGCTGTGGTGGTTTAAACAGAAAGCAGGTGTCCGAAACATTTTAAAATAAAATGATTATTTAAGATAAATCATTGTTAAAGCCAAATTAATTGTTTCAGTTCAAATGACGTGGCATTATATCGTTGATAATGGTACTAATAATAGTATGTATTATAGATTTCCTTGAATCTATACATATTACATACATATGGACACATTTTTTAATAATTTAGAAACATTAAATACCCTATAAATATTCCCGATAAAACGTATTGATAACGACAAGTGGTAATTATGTATAAACATTGGAAATTACAATCCAAGGCTTAACGACGAACTGATAAGCGCAAAATGAAAGTAATGTGGGCGATTAGTTAAATGCCCTAAATTGACATAATTATATGATAATAGATATCTAATGAAATTAGTTTTTAATACGATACGAGTAATTTAAAATAGCATTAGTCATTTAAAACTAATTCTACGTATGTAATACTACCGCTTCGTGAAATAGGTTTTCTTTGCAAACCACCTCGACCCACGACCGTCGCATCCGGTCGATCTTGAAAGTTAATCTTAAAAGATAAACATATTCTCGTGATCATTTTTTTAGAGCCTCAAATATTAATAATTATCCCCGTTTTTTCCACATTCCACAACACTGTTTCTTAGCTCCTATGGGTCGCAGCATGTTTTTTTTATATATATATTTGAATCAGTAGTTCCTGAGTTAGCGCCGCGTTCAAAGAAACTTTCATCCTTATTATATTCGTAGAGAACGCTGTAGACATATCGACCGAAAACAAAAATGTATCTACTCAACAAAACAGTAAAAGACTTCTGATAGACGCTTATACTTATTTTGCATAATATAAATGTTTAATATGTGCCGTCTATCAATGGAAATACGTAGTTCAATAATCACGTGTCTTGCTATGTGTAACTATTGTGCACTCCACTTCGTTTGGTGGCTTTAAAAGATTATCTATAAATTATTTATCATCATAAACAATTTATTCAATTGCATAAATTGTTTCGCAAGGGGACGTAAATATATCAAATTATACTTAATCGAAATAATTCGATCAGTTCCCCCTTATGTTTGATCAAAAGATAATTTAATATTACTTAAAAAGGAAGAAGGCAATACTGACTTCAATATATTTGCCCAATTTAAAGCGGTTTCGGGTGTATAGGTATTTTAAAATCTCTAGGATTCATATTTCCTTAAAATAATTAAATATTGACCTGTCATGTTTAAATTTTTTTAGTAAATTCACAGATCACCTAAATAAGGCTTAAAAGCTATATACCGTCATTATGTTTAGAATTGTGTATATATTATGATAATCATAGGAAAGCTTATGTAATACCTGCGTTGGATCCCTAAGCAAGTCTTCAGTGTGTACAACAATGCCAAGAATGTCCGAACTGATAGCACTTTGAACGGCAGCCGGAATCGATAGGCACCTTGGATCTCGATATGGAGGATACTTTTCAGAAATACCCTGTAGAAAAGAAAATTACTTAAAGTGAAATATTATTTATTTTACTTCACAATGCAAGAAGTACAAATTTAACTACATGAATTAAAAGTAGTTTTAAACAAATTATACAAAAGAACGAGCAATCTCTTTCAGGTTTCAAAAAAATACGATTAACTGACCAGCAAAGCAAATATGAAAATGTACAATATCTAAAATGTACGCAATAACAATGTATATAATGAACATGTGTATAATTTTCCTGATAAAGTCCAAAAGTAATGGATAATGAAGTTATTGTGTATGATGATAACATTGAGGTCTTTGTCCAAAAGAAAGGTTATTGGAATGACGATTCACTTTTAACCTGAGGAGCTATTAACATCCATACAAGGTATTTAACCTGTAAACATTTGCTTTTAAAATATAAGGAAGTAAGATGAAATGACGTTATTCGTAGATGCCACACAAGTTTCAAATAATTAGACACGTCCTTATTGGCCACAATTTAAACTTTCATAAGTACAAAAGCAAGAACAAACGATTATACTTACAATCGTAAGAAACATTACAGGGTATTTGTTCTGCTTGTATCGCACCATTGTGCAAATATCGGGATTGAAGCAAGAGAAGACGATCCTACGGCTGCTGCCATATTTCAAAACTACCTCCAGTACCTGAGACATGAAATGCTACATGTGATATATAACAGTAAACTACACCCTTTTAAACAAATCAATTACATTTTTAAGACTTTAATTTACGAAAAAAAACTGTTTGGTAAAGGCTTGGTCGTACAAACAAATATATTGTGCAGAATATAGATGTGATAAATAGCAACAAATTAACCACATGATACAGTGTGAGGGGGCGACAGATGTAATACTGTTTTTAGAGAGTTCTTTACCATTTTAAGTTATAAACCTGCCTATACATATATGTACTATGACATGATTACTTTATAATAATGGAAATACAATTTATTTTGTTACCTTATCAACATATGTATTCATGTCAAAAGGATTGTTCAATTCAAATGTCCCATCTTTTAACTCCATTGTCCATTTGAGTTCTATGTTAAATCCTACATGTTCATCTAAGGACTTCAGAGTGTGTTCTAAGGTCGGAAATGGTTGGTGTTCTTCTAAGTCTTCATCATAGAACAAAGTTTCATGATTGCGACCTTCCACTAAATGGTATACCTGCAGTGATATAAAGCCATTAACATTTGCTGTGACATTCTAATTAAATCAAACTGTAATAATATAATATTATAAATAATAAAATTTCTTTTCTTTTCTTAACTTGTTACTGTTGCCCACTACTTATTATAACAGTTATTAAATATAATTATTTCAGTACAGTTAAACTTTCAGCTAATTATTGGAAATATTTGTGGATAACAAAATCAGACTTTTATTTCAGACCATTTAAGGTACCTTTAGCTTCTGCAGGTGCTCCAAGGTCAAGTCTTTTACTGGTAATTCTAACATTTCAGAGAAATCTACTTCTCTTTTTCGTTTCATAGATATACACACATGGAAGTCATGATAAATGACAGGTATCATATCTTTACTAAGCTGCACATCAAATTCCAACATATCTGCCCCACTGGCAGCAGCTTTCTTAAGAGAAGCTATTGTGTTTTCACGAATGGCATTGCCCCTGAAAATGATTGCAAGTTATGGCAGAGAATTGCATATTTTTTAATCTGCCATAACTATTGAAATAAATGGGCACTTATTTTTAAAACTTAATGAAAAAATTATATTGACACTTACTCTTTTGTTTTAAAGCTGGCACCAAGTCCTCGATGTCCTACTTCCAGGCCAGTCCAAGAGGGATCCCAATGCTTAGCAAAAGTTACTTGAAAATTGTTTAAATTTTTTTCCATTGGGCAAATGATGAGGTATTCAAAGTTAACTGTACCAAGAGGACGGTGTTTTACATTACATGTAACTGGGAGCTCTAAGGAGCCTTCGGATGGTCTAAGCATGTTTGGTAGAACATATGTATAGCCAACATGACATGGAGGGTCATCAACAGAAGCCCTGCGACTAAATGCATAAAAATCAATAAGGTAAGCAATCCCTTTTGGATTAGGGGCATATATATTCACCAAAAATGTGTCATTAGGCCTATATTCACGTCCAAACTGCTCTTGAGGCTGTAGACAACACAGCACAGGATCATTATCTAATGTGGCAACTTCAACAGAAACACCTGCAGGTGCTTCAGCTTCTGTAGTGTCAGCACTTAGAGAAGAATCTTCAACATGGGGTTCTGTACCAAAGCTTAATTTAACTGGTGTAACTTTGATCCGAACAATTCTGCCATCTAAACGACTCTTCAACTTTAAAGGACTATTGAAAAATTTTAACTGAACCAAGGTTTGCGATGTCAGCCAGCCCCTAATAATTTTTATATTACCACCGTATTCACCGAAAGAGTCAATAATAGGGTGCAACATGCTTTCTTTAATAACTCGGGGTGCAATATGGTTCTCCCATTGGTTGACTGCAATCTCATTGGTTTCTTCATTCACGGTACAAACTACGTACCGATAAAATACATCGCTTGCGTTGGGAATAGTTAACGACTTGGACCACACATTGGAATCTTCGTCATGTTCCAAAGCTACTATTCTTTTGTAATCCCATTCCCCTAATTCAGAGATACTTCCCGTTATAAACACTTTGTCTTTGGAAGATAAATTTGGTACCGTTACTGAAAACAACCAACTCTGTGAAGTTATTTCGACTTTTTCAGATACTTGCACTGACATTTTTTTCGGAATTCTTAATCTTTCTCTTCTAGTACGTGTATCTAAAAAAAACCAACGTTGCATAATCTTCCCACTGCAACTTGGCACAATGTACAATAATTTTGATGTGGCACTATGACGTTTTATTTAAAGTAAATAATAGAAACATTTTTCATATAATGGTAGCTAGCAGTGATATGATCATTGTGACATCGGACTGATACTGAAACCTATATGATAAGTGAAGACGAGCATCCGGGCCCGAAAATATACTGTCACTGTCAAAATACATACATGTAGCTGTCAACTCGAATGCAGACAAAAATAATAATTACACCGCGTAACTATTATTATTAAAAATTCTAACATATAAAATACGCAATACGCATCTACTATAAATTAATTCTTTTATTGACTAATTCATCTTAAATTCAAATTTATTTAGAAATTCGGCCCCTATTGAATAACCTTGTCCGCCTTACATCTAATAAAGGAATTGGATACTAGATGCTTGTATAGGTACCTAATGTACGTGCTATGATGAGAGATTTTACTTAATTTGACGATATTCATATTACAAATACTGAAAGCAATTATTAAAACTTGTTCGAATGTTTAGGAGTACTTTTAATAAATTATTTCTAACCCTATATTTAAAATTTCCAGGTATGCATGATTTAATTACAGCTACTCACATTGTCAAATACGTTCATGTTTACACTTCAGGTTTACAAAGATATAATATACTTGATAATAGGAATGAAATAAATAAGTATATAGATTATTTACGTATATGTATATTTGCACCATTTTACAAAACAAACTTAAAAAGTACGTTGCTCTAATAAAATTATTTACAGACAGAACTTAATTAACTATTTACAATAGGCAGTCTTGATTTTTTTCTATGATTAAAAACATCTTTCTTTGTCATTATTTACGACAGCTAAAACGGGCCATTTACCCCAGGGTGTAAAAAGGAACAGTTATCTCCTTGTCGACATGAACCTTTCCTTTGAAAATATATACAAACACTTTTACGACCACCTCCACGACCGCCTCGACCTCTTTGTGATGCCATATCCCAACTGTTTCCACCTGCTCTACCTCGCCAGTGACCAGCAGAGCCACGACCCCGCATGGCTCCACGAAAATTACCTGGACCCCCAAAACCATCAGGCCCTGGTGGTCCTTGTGGGCCTCCCATATTAAAGTCTACGGGGAACATGTTTTGTTGCATATTGAAACCGTCTGGTCCCACTGGAAACATAGGATTTGGTGGTCCAAACATGTCTGGGCCCATCATCATGTTGTCTGGAGGTACCATCATACCTGGTGGCATATTACCGGGTTGCATTGGTCCTGGTGGCATGCCAGGAGCCACCATAGCACCAGGCATACCATTTTGCATCATAGGCGGAACTCCATTTGGCCATTCTCCAGTCATTATAGGGGGAGGTTGGAAATTAGGAACTACTGGAAACTGTGTGCCGGGGAAAGTGTTTGGAAATTGAGGTACATTTGTTGGAAAGAGAGGAGCGACATTTGCGTTATTCGGTGTAATAGGAGGTGCATTCCCCTTAGGCTCTGGCCAAGGCATATTCCTAAAATCACTAATATTATCTTGATTACCAGTTACGTCTTCTAGGGGTATTATATTCGGCTCCGAATAAGTATGTGTTTCAGGATCAGGTTCTAGGGGTGAATCAGGTATCATTGATTTATAAAAGTACAGTGGTTGTAGAGTTCCTTTTTGTCTTATCGCTTGTATATCTTTTTCTTTACTGTTCTTACCATACTCTACAGGAGTTTGACCTGCAACGTCTATGAGTATTAAAGGTTTCCAACTAGTCTTTTCCTCCATGACGTCATCATTAATGAGATTTCTTGCCTTTTCAAATGCTTCTCTTTCATGTATTCTTTCTAGATATTTCATGTCTGTAAATGTTTTAGTGACATTCACTCTTTCAGTTTCATCAAGCTCGAAATATTGTACCTCTTCCAACTCCGAGTCGGGTTTCCATCTAATGCTTTTTTTGGGTCCTTTCCTCTTATGATAGCAAAGAACACCCTTTAAACCATTTATTGTTAACGTGTGTGGTTCTTCAGAATCCACTTTATTTGCGGTATCAGAAGCTGCTTCCGTGTTTTCATTATTGTCAGAATTCTTGTCCTTGGATTTTTCTTCATTATCTAAAGTGTCTTGATAAAATCTCGGAGGGACCGACTTACTTTCACTACTTGGACTTGTAATAGATGTAGGCGTGTGTGGTGGAGACCCTTCGTTTGGTGCATTGCCATCCTTAGATCCACTGGTACGTCGTTTTCTTTTTTTTGGTTCTTTCTTATTAGTAGCTGAAGCATTCAGAGCATCCATAAACATGTCACTTTCTTGAAGTACCATGGCTGTAACAAAAGAAAAGTAAAAATTGTAGCTTAAAGCAGGGAAATATTTTTCCTTATTTTAACAAGAACATGTCTGAAATGTATAACAGCGGGTTTATATAACACAATCAATATGTTTAGCAAACAAACTAAATTTGGTACAACAAGACCAATAATGACTACAGTGTATCGCCCTATGGGTAATGCCAATATTGTCTTTGTACCATGTTCAAATGTACGTTTTGAGGTTGATGGAATAATAATTTTACATTTAATCTATTTCTGTAAAACATTTTTTTAAACATGCCCGGATAATCAAATTTAATTGTATTACAAATGCTATAAAAAAACTAAACTGATCAGGCAGGACCCGCAAAACGGCGGCGGGCTGCGACGACTTACGCGGGTTCGAGCACTGTCTATATTGAACTTCTTTTAAATAAAACTTAGTTGGCATAAAAAAAATATCTATCTACAACGACCTTATAAGAACACCTTTATTTATTTCAAATAAAAAAGATCCATATTCCTAAACTAAAAAAGACTTACATGTATATTTATTTAGCACAATCATACGCGCTGTAATAAATAATTACGTTGTTTTCGACTAATGAATAAACGAGAATTCGATGAGCCTACGCAACTTTCGCATATACTATCATAATTATATGATATTAAATTAAAGATTAACTAATACATACATTTTCTTGTATTACAAGTTACTATAACTATTATATGTAATGTGGCAGTTTCACTGAACAAACCCGTACTACCTTTGGAAATCAATGCAATAATTTTAATAAATGAAGAGCATAATTAAGATAGAAAAAAAAATACGACACGGGCAGGATTGAAGAGGCAACCACAGCGATCCATGCTGGTCCTCGAAGCAACCAAGCTACCGTGTCGCACATTTAGTAATAGTAGCAACGCGGATCTCAATAGAAGTTCACGACCCACGCATGTCGTAATTTTTTTTACGAAATAGATTTTGTGAAAAATTGAATTTTCAAACATTTTGAAGTTAAGTAAAAGTAAAACCAGTTACGTCTACTATTTATACAAATTAATTTTATAGACGTATTTAGCAACGCAAGCTCGGATATGATGCATCATGCAAATAAGTTACCCGAAATTGCAATAATAATAAGTCGGTGATATCAATAGTAGTTGATCTCAATATACACAAAAAATTAAGTGTATGAAAGTTATTTAATCAATTCTTTGATACTGTGTTTTGAACATAACGGTATTACTTATGACCGCATATTACTTAACATTTGTTTTTGTTTGAGTTTACATTGAGTTAACAGTTGATTACGAGTAGATAGGAGAAGGATATTGCTTTTTTTCGTTTGTTCAAGGCTCAAATTTCGAAAATGGTGCATTTAAAATCAATACTTAGAGAAATGTATGATGTAACCATCTCAAAATGAACGTATTAATAGAAAACTGCATATTGCCTCATATATTTAAAATTCGCAATGATAAAATTAATTCGGTACAGTGTCAGTAACAGGTAAGACCAAATTATACTTATGCCTTATACGCAAACTCTACACTAGTAGAGTCCTATCTTTATTTATCCAAATTGGTTCAGCAGTTATGGCCATCGTTACTAGTAAGTATCAATTTCGTAAATTGTAAAACTGCATTAGGTGTTTCGTTCGATCCAGTTTCATATGACGCGGTCTATCGTGGTTCCGTGTATGGATTTTAACATGCAATGTATAGGCATATAAATACTTAGTTATAGACTAGGATGTTTCGCGAAAATATTAAAACCTTCAGTGCTATTTCTACCGGTTTCTAAATAACTTTTTTATATATTTCTTAGAAAATGTATATTCAACTTTGATTGTCGCGTAGCAACATTAACTCGTCTGGAATTCTCACACAAAATTTATGTTATTTAATAACATAAGAAACCAAAATCTTGTACCCACCCTTAAAACTATACAACTACCAAGACACATCAACAGAAGACAAATCAAAAACCACATTTAGAAAATTGTACACGTCGTGATTAGGATCAACATTCTCACACTTTCTAATTACTGCATTAAGTTATAATTTTGTAATCACTTAGTTTTAATTCCAAATGTGACCAATCAAAATTTGATGGAATTCATTGACATGCCACCTGATTTATTAAGATAAAATTTACGAAAATTAGCAAATCACTATACAAAAATTTGACTTCTAACGGATACGCTACGTTATTCAACGAATTAAATGCTTCTCCGATTTAAAAACATATTGGTCACTAAATATTTTATGCTCTCAGTATTGGCCACTAATAAAAACCGTAATATTGCCTGGACAATGAACTGAAAATCGAAGAAGAAAAACAGATCTTCAATGGTCCAAAAAATATTTGCCCCGTAGTATTCCGTAAAAGTAGCCTTTATGTGTATGCGGTACAGACACTAACCATTTTAGGATATAATTGGTATTAATAACTACTATATTTCAAATTTTGGGTGTTATTAATGAAGGCAATAGATACCTATACATTTCTACCTCTAAACGAAGCTAATGAACCCATATAGAATATATGAATACCTACCCATTTTTCTATAGCCTTTTTTAATATAACTACTAAGTAGTCGATAGTTCCGAATTATATTATTCATCTTTTTAAATAGGTACTTGCACATTTGAAGGCAACCAAACGAATTTTGTTATTGATTAGACTAGTGTGAGAATGCCTGTTTCGCAAATAGGTATGAAGATCGTTAGGACCTTTTTAATAAAGCTATTAAGTAGATAAGAGAATCAACTTAATATTTATATAATACGACTTCGTAAATTTTGACGGACTAGATCAGACGTATTCAAATCTGAACTATTTATAAAGCAGGGCGCTATATATACACCAGACATGATATATTTAGTGATCATTTTCATCATACAGTGCCTTGATCTGTGTAGTCATCTCGAGATTATTATGTTTCAATAACATATATGTATACCATTTTCTTATGCCTTTATGCATAAGAAAATATTTCGATTGTGATTAATCCATAATGAAACAATTTTTTTTCTTATGAACATATCACTTAGTTCCATTGTCAAACGATAAGATATGGCTTGTGGTGTTGTCCAAGTGGCTCGGCGGCGAGTCCTCGGGTCTTCCACGACGAAGATATCTGACGCGTTCCTTTTATCTTTGAACAGATCAGGTCCATATAGTCAACGAAAGAGTATTATTCAATGTACCATTTATTTGAAAAACCAAATGCTTTACAAGTAAGTAATGAATAATAAGAATACCCGCACTGTTATACATTTCAGACTTACCACAACACAAATAACTCTTAAAATATTTTTTGATAGCAACTGTTCTGGTACATGTTCCTTTCCTGGAAAAATAAAAAAAAATTAATGATAAAATGAAATAGTTATATATAAAACAATACTTACGTTTCGGTTTAGGTGGAATTAGTTTTATAGATCCAATTTTTTCCTCAATTTTGGGTATTTCCATTGTTTTGGCCTTCTTTTCGGGTGGTGAATCAGAATGAACAGGAGAATTTCTCTTGGGTATTGAAACGGTAGGTGGTAGAGCTGGAGGTGGTTTTTTATTGCTTAATATCGCGGCTCTCGACGGAGGTGGTTTTATTTCTTCTTCTAAGCCATGAGTTCTAAATTTGGAGTGAAAAGTTTTAACAGTTTTCGGCTTTGGGTCCTCAGGTTTTCGGACTTCTATTGAAATTGATGGCTTTTCTTTTTTGATGTCACTTAATTTGGGAATTTTCCCAAGCTTATGAATAGATGGAGTAGTTTTTTCATGTTTGGAATCTTTTTCCTCTTTAATCTTATCTTCTGAAGACTTATTATTCTTATCATCCTTAGATTTACTACTGGAAGAACTACTTGACTTCTTACTACTGCTTTTAGATTTAGAACTCCCAGATGAATGCTTATGTTTATCTTTGTCTTTTTCTTTAGGCCTTTCTTTACTATCATTGCTTCTACTTGAATGATGCTTATGTTTATCACTTGAAGATTTGCTTGAATGTTTTGAAGAGCTGGATTTTGAAGAGCTGCTGCTACTACTTCTCCTGTCTGAAGACTTATCTCTATCTTTACTCTTGCTTTTCAATTTATCTCGTGACTTTTCTTTATCTGTTGAATCTTGTTTCTGACTGCTAACATGAACTTGTGAAATGACCTGTTTACCATTTTTTAAACTTAATTTGAGTATAGGAATAGATTCCGGTTCCTTCTCTGAACTAACGTCCAGTGGATCTTCTTGCTTCTGTTTTCCATCATTTTTAACATGAATTTCTGGTGAAGTTTCTATTTTAACATTTTCTTCAATATTACTTAAGTTATTCTTACTATCATCTACATTTTCTACAAAATTTTCCGACAACTTGGTTTCACATTCAACAGCTTCTGCTTTCACATCTTGCTGATGTGCATCAGAGATTATCTGTGGTATATCTGTTATTAAAATTGGTGTAATTTGCTCACCCTTTACAATTTTTAACCATTGTTCCACCAATTTTGATGCCAATACTCTAATATCTAGAACAAAATAAAAGTTCAGGGACAGGTTTAAAATAACACATGAACCCATAATGTGAATTTTTAATAAATACAAAGGTAACTTACCAAAGTGGTTTCCATCTTTTGACAATTCTTTTACTAGTTTTGGGTTGTTATTTGTTTTTAGTCTTTCAATATTTACAGGACAAAGTAGCAGCAATTCTAACAATTCTCTCACAAGTGGCCAATTTTTCGCCACTATACTCTCTGTTAACCACATGTGAACAAGGCGCCAACCACCACAATCCATAAAAAGAGCCAATAGCTCTAAATCTGTAGATTTTAATATAAGTATGTAGATACATTTTGACACAAGCTTCTTAGAATACTTGGTCATTAACCTGAAACAGAGAAATAGAAATGAGTCTTTTTACTTCGAAATATTTTAATAAAAATGTTAAGTACTCATTAATAAATTTTATATAGTTGTTTAAGAAACAATTTGATAAATAAAATTACTTTTACTTACTAATAAAATAGTTATGTGATGTTGGATACAACAGAGATGACTTTACAATTAATAACCTATTTAACAAGAAAATATATTTAAACTTATATATATATATACTAACCCAACCAGTGGATAAATTACATCTTTGCATCGAATGCTGCCACTTGGTGAAAGTAGTACACCCAAACAGTTCAATAACCTTATTGGTTCAATGCGTGGCTGTAACAAAATAGAGTAGCATAAAGAAATTTACTCATATAATATTATTTAGGGAATAGGGGCAAATTAGGACAATTTATTTGCATCATTATAGAAACATTTCATAAGTATTTAGTAAAAAGTGCAATATTTAGATCCAAAGCTTTGCTCCAGACTAGTATTATTATTCCTTTTCATATTTTAAAATAACAGACTTTTTAATATATGATTATTATATTAATTTAATAATTATTTATTGTAGCATAAAATTTTAGATTTTGTTAAATTAAAAATTTATTATTAACTACAGTATACATTTATAGTTTAAAGCAACTAGTCCATCATAGCTAGAGTTTTACACTATTAACTTAGCAACAAATTTAGTAGTTACGTAACTATACTTTTTATTGTATTTAGTCATATTAGGAGATATTATTTTTCATCAATCACATTCAAAAACCATGAATGACAGTAACTTAATGATATTAAAGAAAATTGTTAATAACAGTAATCGATAATATTGTACACCGTGCTTTTATTTAGACAAATTATATTACTATTTTTTTTCATAAAACCCAAAAAAATAGAATATTTAATTTTTTCATTATGCTTACAATAACTAAAGTATATAAAGCAAGCATTCTGCATTCAGCATTATTGACGTAATACATCTTCATTTAAGATGGCGTTGGAAAGTAACCAATGGTTTTAATGGTCTGTTAAGCCGGCAAGTAGAAAAATCATGGTATATATCTTTGGCACTTAAGATACTGTGAATTGTAGGTTTCGGGGTAAGGTAAGAAAAAGGAACAGAGAAACCTTGTTAAACTCTTAATACTTTTATCCACGCTACTACGTCATAAGTAGTACGACAAAATGTCCGCCGCTCGAGTGATTAATTTTAACAATTTTAATATAGGTATTTTTTAATGTTATACTTTTAATTGTAAACGTTATATGTAATCGAAAACACTTACTCTTTTTACTAATTACATGCTGTAGAATTAGCTGTCATTTTGTAAATATAAAAAATAATGCCTTTCACTTAATTATCTTTATGAATATATGAAAATTAACAATGATACCAAGAACTCACCATATTATTAAGCTTACAGCGTCGATATTGTACTGTCCATAAAATGGGTGACGTGTCGCGCACTAGCATATGCCACACCCAGCTTGTAATACAAAATGGCGATGCATTTTCTTAGTTCCGACAACCTTTTATTTCTTAGTATAATCACTATGGTAACCACTTTAAACGCTCAATAAGTTCGCTAAATGAATTTAGCACATATTTTTTTGATAAGTAATAAATATTATCGATTTCACTAGGTCAGTTATTCTATGAATTACGCAATCAATATGCAATGATTCTTATACCTATTCTCTTAGTAAATTACAATAATATATTATTTATTATAGTCTGTTATTCAATAAACACCAGTTTTCTTAATATTTAGAAAAGTTTTTGCAATCAAGAGAGAAGCAATTCCCTCATTGGATTACCGGGTGGACGCGTGGATACGTCTTCCTAACGCAGTTTTCCGAAGAAGAATGAATTTAATTTTGAAGTGGGCAAACAAACGAGTACTTTACCGAATGAGGTCGCATAGGTACACTAATGATGTGACACATCAGATGTTTTCGTTACGGAGTAACGAGTACTTAATTAAGAATATCGTATTAATACTACTAACACCGCGAGCGAATTCTTGTGTTGGTAATGATTATGCCAAGGTAAGTAACATTATAATTAAAGTAAAATACAGTGATCAATATTATAATTTTAATGATAAGCGAGTAGGAGTCGTAGTTACAAAAACAAATCAGTTTACAATTTGTTTCTTTAGAGCTCTAAATTTATTTGAAATTGTTTGTATTTTTTTTCAAATTCAATTGTCCTTCCATTATATCTATACTTATTATATCGATTAGTTAGATTTTCGCTACTATGAGTACAAGTATTTCTTGTAATCTGTGACTAGGTATTTTTAATAAGTGCAAGCAGCTGTGGTATCAAATAGACAAGTCGTATGCAGTGTTGTCAACCTTTTGAGAAGTTTGGGGGAAATCAAGATATCTATAGAGATTATATGAAAATATTATATTATGTTATAGATGATTTTTAAGGGATATACATTTTTGGATATTCAGGCTAACGAAATCTAAAAATGCATTCTAAGTTATCTTATACGGTGCCAGAAAATAAAAGATGTTGTATGAAAGTAATTGATGTTTTCTTGAATTTTTGCTTCTTTAGCTGTAATAGATCTAGAAGTAATATCGATTGAAATATATATAAAAGAAACTAGTATATAAACTTTCAATACAAACCCGTTTAAATAAATCGTTAAAGTTAAATTTACAAAAAGATTTTGTTTATTTTTCATCGTTCACGATCACCTATTCGGTTATTGAATAATGAACAGTCTATATTAAACACAAATTTTATACTTCTTTAACATATTTTTTATTTTGATCTTAGATTACAACTAACTACTTAAGTGTACAATTTCAATTAAAAAATTTTAAATTCTCCAAAAAAAAACTTTTTTTGGAGAATTTAAAATTTTTTAAGTGGTAATCTTCTCTAGCAATTGGCATCACTGGGTATATGTCAATAGTCAATAACTCAATACTATTAGGCAATTAGGTCATCATTATCAATGTCGTTAGAGATTATATTCCTTAGTTTATTCATCAATCATTGAAATATGAAACAAAAAATACTATAATTAGAAATTTTACATATTTAATATACAATATATCCAATTGTAAACTAATATCCCTTAGATTCAGCTTACGTTTATTCAGTAATACAGAAAATGTGGGGCGATTCTTTATTAATAGTTTTTATTTCTATTTGTACAGCCCTCCTTGGAGAAGGTAAGACAGTTCTTTTATTTTGAAGAAAATAATTATTTTATTAACCCTATAGTATAATATAAAATTACAAATAAAAAAGAAATTATAATAATAAGTATGATAATACTGTTATAGGACTAACCTGGATTTTAGTGTATAGAACTGAAAAATATCAGAAATTAAAAGTGGAAGTTGAACGTCAGAGTAAGAAGTGTAAGTTGACACAAAATTTATCTCTTAATTTAAGCAATCCTTTTTAAATATTATTTCTTTAATTTAGTGGAACGTCGAAAAGAAGCTCATGGAGATTCCTTAGATAAACAACATAAGAAAAAAATTGAACGTGAGGAAGAGAGACTAAAAAATAATAATAGGGACCTGTCTTTAGTAAAAATGAAATCGATGTTTGCTATTGGATTTGCTTTCACAGCATTGTTAAGCATGTTTAACAGTATGTAAGTATTCTCTTAAAAGGAGAAGCTTTTAATTCATAGTATGTACAATATTTATATATCAGCATTTTAATTGAACTTGAACACTTGCAGATTTGATGGTAGAGTAGTAGCAAAACTTCCATTCTACCCAATATCCTGGATTCAAGGATTAAGTCATAGGAATTTACCTGGCGATGATTATACAGATTGCTCGTTTATTTTCTTATACATTTTATGCACAATGAGTATAAGGTAAATAGGATATTATATTAATTTTAGGGTTGGGAACATAGCAACAACATAGAACAATTTCATAAGCACTAAGTATCTATTAAGATACTTCAAATTATCATTTATTGATAAATTTAAATAAATACCTTTTATTAGTATATTTCATTACTAAAACTAATAAAATGAAACATATTAAACTTGGCAATGATGGTTAGCTGTTTGTTTTACCTTGACATAATTTATTTTACAGGCAAAATACTCAAAAACTATTAGGGTTTGCACCTTCTAGAGCAGCCTCTAAACAAGGTGGTGCCTTATTTGCAGCCCCACCAGGACAGTTTAAATAAGAAATATTAACAAATTTACAATGTTGTAATTAAAATTGTTTACTACCTTAACATACCTACATATTATTCTCTTTTATTGTTATAGTAAAATATAAAAACCTGCTTGATATACTTATTTATATTTTATTTTAATAAATATTAAAATCTACTATAGGCTTATGCATTAAAATTCTATCGAATCCAAATCTTGTTAAATCAATATTTGTATATTGGAAATCAATTACCAAATCTGAAATAGCCTTTCCGATACCTGGTGCATGTTGTATACCTGAAATTAAAACAATTAGTTAATAAATGGGTAATGTGTGAATTTGTTGTTTGTTTTATTACCTGATCTTCCAAATCCTGCGGCCAGAATTAAGTTTGTGTAATATGGATGTGGACCTAAGATTCCTGAATCATCATAAGTGTTGCAGTCAAAAACTTCTGTTTCCTTATGAGTAACCTATTATAGACATAAAAGTTTTGTTATTGGACATTGTTACTCATGAGAACAAATAAAAAAAAACACATCTATGATAGTACCTTTCCATCTAATAGATTATGAAATCTATTTTGTAAGGATGGCTTTAGAAGTAATTCATAATTATCATTTTCAGATAAATGTTTATCTGATTGCAATGGGATTTGTCCACATAAAAGATTGTTATTCAATCCATTTCTTCTTAGCCATAAACCTGTTGTATCCATTACTAGTGGAGAACTTATTCCTATGTTTTGTGATTGTGATCCAGTATTCTCAATAGAGTAAACATTTGATAAGCTAAAATATTACATTTTTTTAAATAATAATTATTTACATTAAATATTTTATTAGTTTTTCTTTATCAGATTGGTGAATTAGAAATCTGATTATTCAGTATATTATGATGATAGAATGTTCACAATGTATTTTGTTTATCTTTCATATATTTAAAAATAAAAAAAATACCTTTGCTCTATAGGAAGTGGTACAGAGAGAAGCCCAGTATGGCTTCCTATATTAGCAAGTTTCGCAATATTTGAAGATTCTGATGCAGCAGCTAAGACACATATGGCGAATTTAATAGAACGTTCTTCATTATCCTTTGTTTTATATACAACTTTATTAAGCTTTTGGAATGACATTGGCTTTACACCCTCCATTAATACATCTTTTTGGTCCTCCATAATAAATCCAACCACCTCTCCATTTACGTAATTAGCACCCAGCTCTACAGATTTCTTTATCATACCTCGCTGTAAAGCTTGGCAATCATAGACACCTTCACCTTCTGTACTTAATGAACCTAGAATGAAATATGACCTATAAAAAGTGAAATATGGTTTCTCTCTTATAAGCCAAACAAATATGTCTTTGTTTTACTAATGTTTTTTTTTCACAGGACACCAATGTATTTTCCCAAATCAAGGCTTAGCAATGCATTCAACTATTAGTACCAAGTACTAGTGTATAGTATGGTGCTAAAAGATACAATTTCTTTAAATTAGTACTGTATTTATATTGAAATGGTGAAATTGGATTCTGACGACGATATGTCTTGCAAAATTACCAAGTTTAACATCAGAGGTATTAATCCAAGGATATTTCTTTCTTAGTTGTTCAGCTGATAGCAGTTCATTTTTTATCCCAAACTCTCTGAGAATAGATACATTTTTTTCTAGGACTTCTGCATATTTTTCGCCAGCTAATACCAAATATCCATGAGGATAGTACTTAATATCATCTTTCAAATTTAAATTTCTTCTAGCATTTCGCATGAAATCTAAACTACATTGTGAAAGAAGAATGTTTTCAGGCAATGAATAGTGGTGGCTTAATACACGCATAGATTCTTTTTCTTCAACTAAGTTCTGTAATAAAAAGAGCAAGACTAAATCTTATTGCTTATGCAAGATATATACAAAGTTATAGGTGTCATTCACTTACACCAAGGTTTTTATCTAAAACTACAACATTAAGTCCTTCACCAGCTCTTTCTTTAAGCCAGTAAGCACCTGAACTTCCTAAAAACCCACCACCTATTATAACAACATCAGCATGTTCTGGGTACACTTTATCAGCAGCTTTATTAAATATCCCATATTTTATATCGCTAGTAATGCACTCTATAGTTCTTTGAAATGGATTCTTGTGGGTTACATATGTTCTTTTAAATATGAATTTTGAAATTTTCCTATTCAAAATTCTTTTCCACATTTTTTTTCAATTTGAAGTTATTATACTTATTATGTGGTCTTAGGACTCTAAGCTAGAGGCCGGCGATTATGAGATATACTAACGAAATCATTCGATTATGAAAATGTCTCGAGATATCTCGATTATAGCGGTTAGTAGTTACTAATATGTACTAGTAGGTAGAGTTGGACGATTATGAGATATACTAATGGAATCATTCGATTATGTAATGTTAGTAGTTACAATAGAGAAGGATAATTAGTAGTTACTAATACTTCTAAGTTAGGACAACGCACTATGGCTTCTCGCTCGTTTTCAGGTTTAGTAAAATGTCGGATGTGACCCTTTTATTATTTTTTTATTACGAACATATTCTATTGGAAGACGGTATAATAACAATAAAACTAGAGGAATATTTAATATTTGTTGATATTTTTCAGCTTTTTAATGTTTTTGCATTTAGGTTTCCCAAATAAATTACTAATTTCTTCTTAGATGGTCGCGGCAATTTCAGAAATCAGTCAGTCTGAAATACAACGGTTAGTGATTAACAATATTTCTTGGATTAAATACAAAGATTTATAGGTTATTCAAATATTTGTTTAGAATAAAAAAAAAAAATATTTAAATAAGAAAATAAATAATAATAATCGGTATACGTACTTCACTAATTTAAAGACTAATCTATGGTTGTCAAATCGATCTCTAGTCTATGATATTTACAGTTTTTTATTTGGTTAAACTTAGGTTAGAATTTGGAAATTTAACACAGTTTTAAATTATGATACTTTATCTAAACAAACAGGTTAAGGTTGCTTAATGTTTGCACAAACATGGATTCTAAGTATGCATCATATGGGAAAGCGAAAGATAAAAGAAATAATTTTGATACTAAAGCAAAAAGAGTTAAGCTCTCTATAGATAATAAAAATAACAATCCTCAAAAGGAAAATAAACATGTTAATGGCTTAGACACGGAAATATCGCACTATAAAGAGAACCCGGATGATATTAAAGAAATGAGGAAATTATTACCAGTGTATGCAGTCCGACACAGGTGTGGTGTTTGTATGTTTAGTTAAGTATGCTTATAACAATTATAATATTAAAACAGATCCTATCTTTTAGAATTCTAGAGGAAATCAGAAAGCATGATACTATGATTATAGTTGGGGAAACGGGTAGTGGCAAAACAACACAAATACCTCAAATTCTCCATGAGCATAGACTAGAAGATACTGCAGCTATTGCTGTGACTCAACCAAGAAGAGTAGCAGCAATTACTCTTGCTCTTAGAGTAGCAACTGAAATGAGCGCTGACATAGGATCCTTTGTGGGGTAATTTAAATTTGCCTTTTAAGGAATGTTCTGTATTCAAGAGTAAAATGAAATGTTTTACTTAAGTCTCTACTCCTAATAAAAAAGAGTGAAATTAATATTTGAGAAGGATTTTACATATTATATAGTATGATAGGTACAAAATAATTCATTTATAAGTATGAATTGAAATTAGACAGTTATATTGAGATTATGACATAATATATATTATGATCATAGGTTTACTGAACCCATAAAAAAAACATGTTCTTATTTATTCCAGTTATTGTGTGCGATTTGAAGATGTTACCAGTCCTAAAACAAAAGTAATTTACTTAACAGACGGTATGTTGCTGAGAGAAGCAATTATGGATCCACTGTTAATGAAATATTCAATAATAGTTTTAGACGAAGCCCATGAGAGAACTGTTAACACTGATGTTTTGTTTGGAATAGTAAAACTAGCGCAGAAGGAAAGAAAATTAAGAGGCAGTAAACTTAAGGTTCTATAATTTTTTAATCACTTTTTAAATTTTATAAATCACCTGTCTGACCCAACAAACACTGAAACTTTATTTATTTTTGTAAGAGTAATCTACAATACCTTGATAATATGCCCAAATAAAAAAGGTCTATTAACTTGTTCTGGAACTAGGACCATTTATATTGTTAATACACACATTAATTATTACCTGGTTTAATCTTAACCTATTTGGTTGTAAGTATTGTTTGAAGTCATACCGCGCACATCACAAATGAATTTGTTGAAGTACTAATCTCATAATACCCCTTTTAGGTCATTGTCATGTCTGCAACCATGGATGTGGATACTTTTAGAAACTATTTTGACAATTGTGCAGTAATATATCTGGAGGGACGTACTTACCCTGTCACAATATACCATACAAAATTGAAGCAAGAAGATTATCAATATGCAGTTGTTTGTGCTATATTTCAATTGCATGCTTCAACACCTGCTGAGTGAGTTACAGGCATTTCTTAAAAAAAATAGAATTTGGCAACAAGATTTAAAACAGGATATTTAAATACTGTCTATAGTTTACGCGAGTAGTACACATTTAAATAAAACACTTTAACGGTTTAAAACGCGATATATTAGTTAAACTTATTTGTTAATATTATTATTACTTATTGAAATAAGTTTAACTAATATATCGCGTTTTAAACCGTTAAAGTGTTTTATTTAAACAGGATATTTGTTAATTTTTTAAACCACCATTGTCAACCTGGTTTTTCCAGGCATTTAGTACAATGTAATAGTAATAAAAAAATATATTTATATAAATGTAATCAGAAGTTATCTTGTAAGCTAGTTACAAGATTTTATGTTGTAAGCTTTAACCATAAGCAGACTTTGAAATAATCTAAATGATGTGTTTGGAAAATTTTATACATTTTATATATCCATATTATGTTTATTTCAGCCATGATTTCCTCGTCTTCCTCACAGGCCAAGAAGAAATTGAAACTGTTATGGCTAACATTAAGCAAATAGCTAAGGTAAGTTTTCACAATTAATTTAACTTCAGGCTCTATAAGTGGGGAATCCGATTTCCTTTTAAGGGGCACAGAGTTAACACGTTTCCGTATCTGTTAAACTTCAGACTTCTGTGTCTTACCTGATAGAAACGATGTATTGTTTACCTAGCATTGCATTAAATCTTATCAAAGCATATAGAGTAGTGATAATAATAATTAAAAGGGTTTCTAAATATATCTATTTATTGTGTTTATCTATGTTCTAAATTTTTTTGTAAAAACATCGATTAAAAGATTTGTGTACTATCAGTAATATAATTAACAATTTGAAGGAGTCACCTGGACCACAAATAAGAGTTTGCCCATTATACGCTGGTTTGCCTGCGAATAAACAATTAGTTGTATGGAAACCTATACCCCCTGGGATGCGAAAAATTGTTTTAGCTACTAATATTGCTGAAGCATCTGTGACTATTCCCAAAATAAAATGTGTCATAGATACAGGTGTTGTTAAAGAAAGGTAAGTTTATATCATTTATAAAAAAAGTTTACTATACTAATGCAAATTGAGTTATAAAATTTAAGACTTAAGAAACTTACCTGTGAAAAGACTTGTTTATCATGATACGAAATCTTAGTAAGTAGTAATGATGGTGATGAGACCTAATTACCTGGGTGGAATGCTCAGCGAATAATGTGAATTTATCACCGAACCATCTATTGGAGTCCCCAAAAGAAAATAAATGGAACTACCCCACTTTAACTTTTTTTTAATAAAACACTTTTTACTTAATTATTATTTTTTAAGTTTAACTATATATCGCGTATTAAAACGTTAAAATGTTTTATTTAAATGTACTCTCGTAAACTACAGACAGCATTTATTTACATTTTTTTTAATTACGTTTGTATTTACTGTAATAATGTACTATATTGTTTCATATTATTAGGAGCTGGTGTCGTGTGACTGGTGCGGAACGGCTGCACGTCGTACCTTGTTCACAAGCAGCGTGTTGGCAGCGCGCAGGGCGTGCTGGCCGGACTGCGCCTGGTGCTGCCTATCGGCTGTACACTGCTGCTGATTTTGCTGCACGCCCCCAACATAATACGCCGGAGATACTTAGGTAGACCATATATGAATAAGAAAATTATAGCACAAAATAAAAATTACATAAGGTTTGAGATAAGCCGTTGTCAATTTTTCCAATCTAAAGTAAATTGTAGAAGTAAAGTAATAAATAAACAAAGGTAATAGAGATATGTTTTTTCTAAGAATAGAAGAGGACAAACAAGCATGGGGTAGTGATACCCCAGCTGTATAACATCTACACAAGGTGCGCTGTTGACCTATTTTGGCTTTGGACATTCGAATCCACAGACCGAAACCGACACGTGTATAAACTTCACGGCTTTTCATCTTTGGACGGTGGACCTACCATTTAATATCCAGATTTTGCAGACGAAGTCCGACATGTTTCAGTAAAATAAATTGAATATTTGAATCACGTTGGACCCGATGGGAATCGAACCCACGTTGATTATTAGCCATACATTGTTACCAATAGTCCAACGAGGCCGTCACAATGTACCATGGAAACTTTTGCGAAATAAATACGATTCCAAAAACGGTATAATAAATTCTTCCAGATGCCCCCTAGCGGCAACCCTGTTAATGTTAATAGCGACGGGAATGGATCCCGGCACATTTCCATTGATTGACGCACCCTCGCCAGACTCCGTGCAGGCATCATTAATTTTGTTGAAAGAATTAGGTATACTTGACACTGAAAGTCTATTATTTTAAGAATAAATTAGAATGTGGCTATTAATTTACTTTGTTGCTTAGGAGCTATCGAAAATGAGAATAATCCTAAGTTGAAGGCGCTTGGAAAGAAAATGACCGCTTTTCCTATTGACCCGAAGTACTCGAGGGTAATCATCAGTGCACCAGAATACGGCTGTTTAGATGAAGTAAGTTAACTAACTAAACATAATTAATTTAGTGAATTATGTTCAGTTTTTTTTTTAATTTGAAATGTTCTAGTTAAACTTATTTAGAATTTCTTTTAATTGCGACCTGATGTTTCGCATGCATTACAGCAGTCGTGTTCGCGGAGGCATTGAAGGTGTCAATAATGTCAAAGTTTAACTAATACATTTTGCGTTTTAAGCCGTTAAAAGTGTTTTATTTAAATGTGTACTACTCGTATAAACAACAGACAGTAGTTAATTGAGTTGTTAAATTATTATGAAGATAAGATTTTATATATTTTTTGATGATAACTAGTTTGTTAGCTGTATAAGTAACGGGACACTTTTATTCACAACATTTGTCCAAAACGTTAAATTTTTAAACAGTTAAAAATGTGTAAATTAGCTTGTCCATTTCCCCTTACAGGTAATTACCAAGCTTTGCCAAACATTTTCCTTAAGAGCACTGGCCACACAGATGATCAAGTGCGGTAACTTAAGAGACAATTACTTTTATAATTAAAAAAACATTTTCAGGCCCTGAGCCTCGTCGCAGTGATGTCCAGTGAGAATATATTTCACACGCCATTACACAAGCGGGAGGAAGCCTTAAAAGTTAAGCAGAAATTTGTATCGCCCCTAGGCGATCATGTTACACTTCTCAATGTATTCAAAGCTTTCTGTAAGGCTCCCCTAAAAAAGGTAAAGGTGTTTTCAGACTAACTTATCATTATATGTAGTTTATAGAACTGGATGCACATGTTCACATGCTGTAAAGTCAAATACATAAAGAAAAATGTTTTCCTAGCTATTCATTTTAACTTTATGAAGTTACCAAGAAAGTTAATATCTTTCATGCAAGATATTTGTGTTGAATTGTGAATTGGAAGTTAAATCGTCTTTCCTTCATTTGGAGCGTGCGGCAGACATTTCTGCGTCTGCGTCAATGATCGCTTTTATAAATAAAGTATAGTATCGAAACGAAATGTAAGCTCCTTAATGGGCGTACTTTACAGTATTTGGTAGATGTTAAACCCCAGAAACATATTTTCTGAAATATATGAAAAAAAAATAAAACATGTAAATTGCGCAAATTTTGCAAAATGACGCTGTAATTTGGCTAGTGACTATATTAGCCGTTGGTGTTTGTCGATCATATGATCTAAAATCTACATGAATTTGTACTAAACATTTACTCTCGAATTTTAACAGTGATTGGAATAATAAAATGGGTTACAAATTTATTTATTTATTAATGCAGAACAGAACTGTTTTAACACTAGGAAGCACGATGGTTGATAGAACTGTTTGTAAGCAAGTGACGTCAGCAAATCTGACGTGACAATTTTTTTATTTTGAAATATTAAAAAAAGTTAATTTTTGATTAAATCGATCCTTATTTTTAACATATTATGTGACTGTTTTACGGCGGTTAGAAGGTAAACTTTATACTGATAATAGTAATTTAAGTTTGAAAACTTAAATATTTTTCACTCACATGTTATTACACATGATGGCACCAAGTATATGAATTAAAAATCGATAAAAAAATTAATAAAAATTATACAATTCGGGCAGGACTTGAACCTTGAGATACCGAGTCCTTACATTATACTATAATATTAATATATAATACTGAGTAATTGAAGATATTTTTTTGCATTGTTAAATAGCTCATTCTAATAAAAAGTTTATGTTACAGCAATGGTGTAAAGAGAATTATTTGAATCATAGAAACTTGTCGTATGCTTCTGACATTCGAGCACAGTTATTCGCTATTTGCCAGAGGTTAAACATGGAAGTTACGAGTTGTGGAACCGACTTGGATCAGGTAATCTTTTATTAATCGCAATTTATATTTATTTGTGTACAAGCAAATTTGACATCCATCGTCGACGATGGCTTTAAATTTTACCACTTCTGGGGCTCATATATTCGACCGCCTCTGTAGCTAAATGGTTAAATGTGTTGTTTAACATTGCGTAAACGCGGTGACGGGTTCGAATACCGGAGAAACATTAGATTTTTTCGGCACGTAAGTCTGATCAAACTGCGTTAAACGCGAGAGCTCCTGGGTTCGAATACTTTCTTATATTACTATGAAGGCATATTGCTGTGAAGGATTTTAAATCAGAGAAATTAAGAATAAACTAATAATAATACAAAAGAAAATATTCAAGTTCAAAGCGATACTTCTGAAAAGAATTTAGACAAATATTATGCAAAGTGTGATTCCTAATACTAAAACTAAGTAGCTCTAAAAAGATTTTTTTAAGTGAAGCATAAAAATGTTTAAAAAAAAAATCAAAATATTTAATGTCCTTCGCGCCCACCGCGTAAGGAGCCCACTGCCCCTCTCGTCGAGTTAGTTACGCGATGCGCGGCGTGGCGTCCACCGCCGGCATGAATTGTCGGGCATTTTTTCGTCCTATCATAAATACTTTTCGCAGCGTATGTGGAGAAAGATATTTTATGGCTAATTTTTTTACACCTCCCGTTGGTTTTGATAGAGAATTCTAAAGATGACTATAGTAATCTAGTACTAAATATAGCCTATTGTTCTCAGTGATAATGTAGCTTTCTAATAAAAAAAATATTAATAAAATCGGTCCAAAATCGGTCGGTACTTTTTGAGTTTATGCGTTACATACAAAAATACAAATCTTTCCTCTTTATAATATTAGTATAGATAATCGATTTTTAATTTACTTTGCAGCTTTTAAAGTGCCTTCTAAGTGGACTGTTTACAAACTGCGCGTGGGCACGCGGCATAGTGACAAGCGGTACCGGCCGGTACGTGACCGCGTCTGGTTCGGGCGCGAGTATCCATCCAGCTTCGGTGCTACACTTAAAGAGGCCACCACCACCCGCACTTCTCTATACGGAGCTACTGCAAACCAAACGCGCTTATCTAGTGACGGTATCTGCAATACAACCACATTGGCTGCATCAGGTCGCACCAGATTATGCGAGACGTTGTCGCGCCAATCGGTGACATATTATCAAAGTTTTAGGTTATTTCCAGACTATGGTATAATATATGTACAGTAAAACCTGCTTAAGACGATTTCTTCGGAACTCTATACTAATACTATATTTTTTTTTAATTTATCGAACCCTCTTATTTTCTCGGTCTGGATTTTTAAAAACAGGTAAGCAGAACCTTAGCAGTTAATTAAGTTTTATTTGTTGTATGAGTTAATTTGAATATCAATTTTTTTCTCGGTTCGGTTGTATTAAACGGGATAACAAATCGTATTAAGCGTTAATAAAAGTATAAAAAAAACATGTCTCATTTAAGCGTGATCATCTTAAACGGGTTCTACTGTAGTTTATAGCGCGCCAAAATAAGTATAGTTAAATATGAACGAAATGAGTAGTCTTTATTTACGAACGGTTCGTAAACGTCGTAACGGTCGTAAACTTCAAATAATTATTGTCGATTCAATTTTAACTCTTAATTGCCATTGTACAACTATAACTTACATACTTAATTTAGATAATAATTCTTTGTTTTAGGCTATTCACATAATTTTATAAGTGCGATATTTTTTTTAAGAATAACAAAAATTATAATAATTGGCTTGTTGATAAATAGTAATAGTGGCTGTATCTTTACAATTAAGAGATCGAATTTTAAGCGCTTGCGTCGATTTAAAAGTGAATACCAGATTATTGTGAAAATTCTTACTAAAGTAATGGATATCGTTGTTGTTCAGTTTTTAGGTATACTTTACGTATCTTAGTATGTACTTACTACACTTGATTTGATCTTTCTCTAAAGACTTGGGTTCGAATCCCGGGAAAACAATAGATTGTTTCGGTCGGGCAGGGCACTAAAGTCTGATTAACTTGCCTGTTAAAGAACCGATCAGTGAACCGGACACAGAAATGTGTTCGCCCCACGCCTGACAGACTATGTTGACACTGTAATATATTTTATAACGATGTTTAATAAAGTAACTAAGCTTGTAAAGTTATTTTTGAAAATATTAATATTTTTCACATGTGCACATGGATGGCCCTATATAAATTAAAAACCGATTACAAATTAAAAAAAAAAAATTTGTAATCGATTTTTTCATTTATTCAATTATGGACAAAATCAAATGTTTTCGTTACATTAAGGTGTACTTTTGGGTCATTGATAATAATGTATCATACAATTTAAAAACTGTATTTTAACTTTATAGTTTTATAATTTCATAAAATCTGTTGTAAATATGCTTTAATTTTATAAAATCATTTGGTTAATAAACGTAACGTTAATACAATGTTATTTTATTACTCTTTTTAATATTAATATAATGCAATGAGGATGGATGAATGTTTGTTATGTCTAAATGGATAAACCAATTTTGATAAAATTTCGTATCTATTTATTTGACCCAAATTTGATTTAACTCAATACGATGTATTAAGAGGAAGACACGCGACGTGCAACATACTAATATAGATAATATCTATATAAAAAAAATTTCTTTCGTATGGTTTGATTCACGCCATCGTGTGTGGCTGTTACGTAGGTTCAAAGCTATAAATAAACTTATTCCTCATTACTTTGAACCAAATTTGTAGAATAAATTTCTCTAGTGTAATTTATATAAAAATAAAGGGTAGTTTTAATAAAGAAAATAAATAACTATTTATATACAAATTATGTATCGGGTAGGGCGAAATGTTACTTCGCTATTTGCACCTTTTATAATATAAAACAGGTCAACCATCCAGCATCCATGACACTTCGTCAACACCTCACTTCCTCGACGAGGACGATGAGCCGGTAATCCCGCTAGCCTGTAGTAGCATTGTGGGTCTCAGCTCCAGCAATGGGATCTTAATAAGACTGAGAGTATACACACTTCTATGCCTAGCCCAAAAACATTAATAATTTATGCTCGGCGTTCAAATATAAACTTTGCAACGCAAGGTTCGCTTCGCAACGGTTTTCAGAAGTAAGCTATGATGCTATGGTCATTTCATCATGAATTTATTAACTTTATATTCGTAAATTTCTCGTTCAAACTTTTTGTTGTTCTGCATTGTCTTAACTACGTAGTTTTTCTTAGCAGAAGAAGAGAGTGTATAAATCTTACAACACGTGAGACCGTCTGCCATCGACGACCCGAACCCTCCGAATAGTCAGCATAGAAATTCGTTTACGAGCTAAAAGCTTTCCATTTGCTCGGTAAAACGCCGTAGGTTGTGACAAAGTTAAATATGTTGCGCCACTACGATCCGCGACAGCTTTTGTAAGAACCTAAATCTACTCTATCTAGTACAGGTACTAAGCACACGCTCAAATGTTATGTACTCTATCGTACCTGTACCACTTTGATACAATCTTTATTCTATACTTATAATATTATAAAGTTGAAGACTATGTTTGTTTGAACGCGCTTATCTCAGGAACTACTGGTTCGAAATGAAAAAATATTTTTTTGTTGGTTAGACGAGGAAGGTTAAGCCTTCCTATCCTAGCTATAAGAAAACACCATGCTGCGACCGACAAAAACGAAGAAACAGGAAAATTGAAAAAAATCTGCTAAAATTGTTTATCTTTGAGGGCTTCTTTTGCGTGAGCTGCAAAAACGGTTCAATAAACTAAAAAATGAGTATGGCAGTATCATTTTTCTTTAAGTGATCTAAAGAATGTCTATGATGATGCATATGTCTATCTTTTTAGATGTGAGTTATCACAAGAACCGTAATTGTTTTTTTATCGATGTTAAAAGTAGCTTTATTGATTATAGCTTCAGTCAAATTGACAGAGCGAGTATAAAATACAGCGTCGAGTCACAAAAACAGCAGGAAAATTAGTAACAACTACCAATATTAAAATACATCTTATAAAGTATAGAAATACCTAGATAAAACTATTTAAAAAAAAGTCTCAAAATTTTGTTTTAACACAGTTTCAGAGTAACATAGAAGTACATTTACAATCAACTGCACTAATTCCAAATATGCCAATTAGATGACAAAAAATCCCGTTTCTTTTTATGTGGTGCATGAGTAAGACACACTTTTGTGTCTGTTTTACTCAGAATCCGATTAATCCTACTCGACAATTACTATTTACGTAGACAAAATGTAACGTTACGTTTGAAACGGTATTCATAATAACAGTTGGCGTATTGTTCTTCCTGCTTGTTAAATTTTGGCAAGATATTGTTTATAAAACGTGTTTTCAAAGGAATCTACAATTTGGATTTCATCAGCTGGATAATTATGTAGATTTATTAAAGGAACCGTCGAACAGTTAAATACAGAGGGGAGCATCTATTTATATACATATATTTCACCTCACTGGTATAAAATCGTACCGATACTACTATACAAGAAAATGTTTGATACTTTTTATCTACGCCTAAGTTAAATGACTGATGACGTATTAGAGTTAAGCTTTTCTTCAAGTTAGATTTTTTACTCTCCATGCCGTCTAAGTACATATGAATTAAATTTGTATAATACATATATGTACATAATTTTAAGCTTTGTTTAAATTTAAGATAAGTTTTTTTGATAAAATAAAGGGTTAATTATATTTGACAAACGAGATATACTAACATACAATGTAGAACGTGTATGTATCAATAAAAGCACACTTGATTTTGGAAATAAATCCCGGATCAATACAAAAAGTAATAAAACCGTTTCAACGGAGTCCGTACCTACAGGCTAAAATAAAAGCATAGAGTAGCAGAATTATTATCTTCCTGAAAGCCAAATAAAGCGGGCAAAGGCACGGGGCGAGGAGGGCGACTGGGTAAGAGACAATCTCTGCGATGGCTCATTCACTGCTGCAACGAGCCGAGCCGAGGATTGAATTGGAAGCAAATGTGCCGTAGGAATACTGCCTACGCATATAAACTGAACCACTGTCAAGTACTTCTTTGATCCAATGACAAAAGGGATCAAGGTTTAATGTAATTTGTTCATTAGTTCAGGTTCTTTATATTCTCTGCATAGATTATTTTATTACATTCAATTCCATAATTATAAAACAATACCGATTTACGCGAGAAGTACGTCGCGATATATTAGTTAAACTTATTAGAAAATGATTTTTACCTTCGGCCCGACATGTCGGATGCTATAAAACAGGGGGAGACTCCCCGTGACCACGGCTGCTGCAAAGCTCCGGAAAGTGGGGGGGGGAACATTTTCTAATAAGTTTAACTAATATATATCGCGTTTTGAAACTGTTAAAGTGTTTTATTTAAATAAAGTATTAATCAGAATACGCCCTAATACTATCAAAACCATGCCTACCAACGTCAAAGTGATAAATAAATTTATGCATACAGCATCAGACCTCGAACAGATGTCAAGTCCATTCACAATCTAGACCAAGACATTTATTAGAATTCTTTTTCTTTTGAGGTTTCTTTTTATATCTAAGTCAGTGATAAGTGATAACGATACTAAAAACTAGATGTGCGACTTCGTCCGCGTAGAATAGTTATTTTGGGATAATTTTATTATTGCAAAGTATGTCTATCTTTAAGTTTAAGCTTTTTGAGTCATTTAAGTTTAGTTAGTTTTTTGGGTTTTTAAATGTTTTCGCACCGCAACTGAAGCCTCGAAGTAATTTTTGTCTTTTTATCGCTCTATCGGTGCCATAGCCTAAAGCCTTCCTCGGTAAAATGGTCCAACCAACCCAAAGTATTTTTTCAATTAGCATTAGTAGTTCCTGAGATTAGCGCGTTCAAACGAACAAACAAACTATTCAGTTTTATAATATTAGTAGAGATATACGACATATTTTCGAATAAAGAATCGAATAAAAAGAATTGAAACGCTAAAGATTGTTGTATTTTACAGGAGTTGACTGGACTCAGTCATTCAGTTATTAGGTCATGATAAAACACTTTGAGTAAGGAGGAACTAGGAAGCGTTTGCGAGCTGCTTCATTTCCGCGCGTGGGTGCGCGGCCGCATCCCCATTTCCTCGCAGTTTATGGCTTACAGAATATATTCAATGCGAAATTTC